TATATAGGTCGACTTAATAGCCGACCAGAAATTTAGTGCTCTTTTTATGGCTGTGACCGAATAACAGCCGGCCCAGATTCAACTGTCAACAGTCGAATCTAAGAGCAAAATATAGGTCGATTGTGACCCAATTGACAGTCGGCCCAAATTCGTGAGTGAGAGCCTCCCTTTTGATAAAGTTAGGATATTTTTGACTTTTTCCAAGTAAAATTATATTTTCATCCTTTTTTTTTTATTCTATTTCCCAAGTCATTTTGGAATTACGAAAAGATCATTTCCTCCTATTTCCTCCGGGCAAAAAGTCTTTAAAGAAAATTTCCCTTGTTCTCTCTCCTCCCTCACAAAAGCACACACTTACACGCTGAGTACGTGGGTAAGAATCCGGCAATGGAAACGAATAAATAGAGCTCAGAAAGCTTTTGAAGATACTGAAATTCGAACGTCTGGAAGACAAACAAGGAAGAAGAAATTCAAGGAAAATTTGGAATCATTGAATAACAGATCGAGGAAGTAGGTAGTGATTAAACAATTCAGAATACTTCGATTGGAGTGAGAGAAGCGCCAAAAGATTCTGAATTCGAAGTTCTTCATCGGATAGTGATTTCCAACCTATCTCTCCGGTACTTCTTCAATTTCTCCTTTTTAACCGGTGTATGTTGTTTATTTTATTTATAAAAGTAGATTTACTTTTGATTTTTGGAACTGTTCACGTTATAAATTTTATTGATAGTTGTGTTTCATATTGTGAAACTTAATTCTTGGATCGTGTTTTGTGGTCTAGACCTATTACTGCAATTTATCTTTCTTTGTACAATGAGTTGTTTTACTTAGTTGAATTGAAATATAAGTACAATTTAAAGTATTTAATTTATAGCACATTACAGATTCACGGTAATGCCCAACACTGTTTCGCCCCTGATTGAATCCTGCACTGACTCCCATTCACTTATTTTTGAATTCATCCCTATGTAGGAACATTACTAAAAGAGTCAGACCTATTTGTTGAAACTAACTTAGTTAGCATTTATGCGAAATATGGGTCACCTTTTTTTTTTGATAACCGTGAATGTTGTAGTTTGCGCACACTTTGACTAATCCCACGGAAGTATACGGTCGGGTACAGAAGACTCGAACGGGTGACCACTGGGGAGCAAACCCAAGGTCTGACCAACCTCAAGGTTGAAATATGGGTCACTTGAAAATGCATTTGGCTTGATGGAATGAGTAAGGGAAATTTGTAGGTTTAGTTTACGATAATTGGAGCATGCTTCATGGAAGAGAAGTGGTGGAGTTTTTTTATTTGATGACGGTGTCTGATAATATTGTTTCAGATGATTTTTTTGTTTCCCAAATTTTAAGGACTTGTTGAATACGTGGGGATGTGGAGACCAATAGTAAAGTTGGCAAGAAATGAGCATAGAGTTTAAGAAAAATTCTGACCTTTAATTTTAGGCAAAGGTGTCAAGACTTTTCCAAGCAAGGGTATTTACTATTTAAGACTTTTGAGTTATTATGGAATGGACTGAAGGCCTTTTAAACCTAAAACATTGAACATAGGCCTAAAGTATTTTTGACCAGGGCTTTTAAAGTATTCCCGAGTTCAGTTTGTGGGTTGTTTTTGTGACCTTTTTTTTCCCCTTAATGTTATAGCTTTAAAATCAACAGTTCTTCTTCTTCATATGCAGTGAAAGATACTGTAATTTGAGTAGGAGTATTATAATGAACAAAGGAGGAGCGGGACTGGGTAGTGGAGCTGGCGGCAGTGGAGGTGGACCAACTGCTGCGGCGGCAGCTGCGGCTGCCCAAAAGCAGAAGACCCTTTTGCAGAGAGTGGACAATGACATCGGAAATCTTGTCGATAATTTCGGATTCCTCGTTAATGTGGCACGGGTAATCTTGCTAATTCCTTTGAATAGCTTATGAAAATTTTAGAATAATTTTATGCATATTATTTCTTGGTCGATTAGATTACAAAAACTCTTATCAGGGTGTAATGATTAATGAGCATGTTGCCTTTCAGAAATTAATATAATGAGGGTGGTTTATTTAGTATTTGAATTTTAGAAAATGTGAACATAGAAAAATTAGGTGATAATATGTGTTCTTGTTTAGCCCTTGTTTTGGCTTTGCTAAAAATTAGATTTTTTGAGGATTTGGATAAAAGTTTATGAAATGAATGGCTGAAAAGTTGTGTCCCCTATGAAATGTGTGATTAAAATTTACTCTTGACTTTGACTTAGATTTTTATGAACTCTTTTTAGCTAAGCCAAATAGGTTAATGTGAGTGAGTAAATCCAATTTCAAAACTGACAGCCACTTGAACATATTCGGAAGCCAGGCTGTTCTGAGGGCCTTTTATCTTATTTGCTGAGAAAAGATTATAGAAATGTTGTTAACCCCTTTGATATGCTCAAGTTCACTTAACAAGTTACTTATGGCATGTTTGATGTGTTGGATTGAACCACACTAGATACGAAGAAAGAAGCAAAAATAAGTTGAATTATGTTTGTTGAACTGTGTAGTGTGTCCTGTATTGTGTACCAAACATCCTCTTAGATCAAAAGATGGGTGAAAATAAAGCAAACAGTTCTTGGAGTTCAATGTATACTTCAATGCATCACATGTTAAGGATGTAGTTCTCTATTCAAATTTTTTATTATGTAAAGAGTTGAAATGCCTGTACTTTGATGGTACTTTTTAGGGGGAATGATATGTACCCAACGTTTTACGAAAACCACATTCCATTCGCACATATGTGATTGTCCATGTGGAGATTGCCAGCTTATTGTTGTTGGAGTTGGGGTTGGGGGCATAGGGTAACCATTATTATCTGCTATTAGGTGCACCTTGAAAACATGTAGATGAAAAGGGTTATAAAGGCAGAAAATATATTACATCCTTAAGCACGTATAGAGCACACCTGGAAAACATAGTAGTGTGATTAGTGATGAAGATCAAGATAAATATACATTTATAGTTTAGACATAAGTTTAAAATAGAGTTTAATTTTAATTGTGAATGTTTAGATTGGATAAGATTAGATTAGATATTATATTTTGATAATATTCTAGTTTATTAGAAGTTCGTTTGATTTTAGTTGCTTGCTTTATATAAATAGAGGGCTTATTCATTGCAATTCATAACCCTTCATTATATGAATAAAAATAGATTTCCTCTTATCCTCAATTCTTCCCTTCTTTACACCCGTTTCTTTTCTTGTTCATTAACAAATTACACGCTCCTGCGTCAGATACATATATGTTGTGTAATATGTTGTTATGTATGTCCTGCGTCAGATACATATATGTTGTTATGTATGTATTGAATGAAAGAAATAGATGGCATTAGAAAGGAAACTCTGTATGTTACTTTATTTCTTGATATGAAAATGAAAGAATTGTATTACAAATCACTGCAAATACGAAAAATGACTTACAAGGATGGTACCAACTTTCAAGAGGTTGGCTCTCTCCTACAAGACTCCTATTTTCTCCCGTTTTCTCCAAGTTTACCATCTCTTATTTATTCTTGAGTGCCAACTGCTTTCTAACCAAAATACCAAACTAGCCAACTTCTTCTTAACCGAAATACCCAACTACCTCCTGAAACTGATTCTTGTAACCACTAACAGAACCTTCCGGAGCTGAGTGACTGGTGCAACTCACAACTCTTCCCTTTGATTCTTTACTGTGCCAGCAGCATCCTCCTCCTTCCCCTGCTTGAATATGTATAACAAATAGGAGGTCTATCATAGTGCTACGTGATGCATTTCAAAAATGCAGAAAAATGATTTGATCATTAATAGCAGAGAAAAGGGAGGATCTTGGGGAAGGCTGGCCTGGGCCAGGGCACCCCAAGCCCGGCTCTACCATTAAATATGTTATTTTTTCATTTCTGAAGTCAGTATTTCTACAGTTGACACGTATCTGTGCAAAGAAGAAACCATTCAGGTTTCTTTATTTATGAAATTCCGTTTTGTTCTTGCTGGGTTCTCAAGTAAAGAAATATTCAACTTCCTGGCGATGAATCATTTTTCAAAATGCATCTGTTTAATAAAGCTGAATATATTTCAGGTTAATGATCCACCAGTACGAAATTCTCAGGAAGCTTTCATGATGGAGATGCGTGCTGCCAGAATGGTTCAATCTTATTCTGATTTTTAGTAAATTCATACATAAATATGCACACAGCAAAGATTCATCTGCAAATATCTCAAAGTATTTAGTCAAATGAAAAGTCGTGGACATGCTGGTATCTTCTACATTATCGACCCAAAAACTAGGAGCCAAATCTTTTGAGTTCTTTGGTGCTTTTGAATCAAAACAACTATATCATATTTCATGCGTGTATGTTTTATAGTTATTTAATCCTTTACTCTTCCCTGTTCATTTGGCTAATTGAAAGTATAAACGAACAGGTTCAAGCAGCTGACTCGCTGCTTAAATTGGTGTCCGAGTTGAAGCAGACTGCAATTTTCTCGGGTTTTGCGTCTCTTAACGACCATGTAGACCAGAGAACGGAAGAGTTCAATAAGCTCGCAGAAAAAACTAACAGCAAATTGGCAAGAATTGGAGAAGAGGCAGTTGCTAGCCTGAAGGAGCTCGAGTCACATTACTACTCGTCCGCGTTGAGAACCAGCATTCCTCCTGAGTCCTAGATAAGGTGTAGTAACTTCTGTTGGATTTATTTTTGTTTGAAGTAGTACAGCTGAACTTCCTGGAGCATAGAAAATGATTAGGTTGACGTATCATGGGAACCAATATCAGGAATGTATTTTATCTCACGGTAGACCTATAATCTGAATTAAAGGATCTCAAAAGTACTTTTTGTAATTTTGATACTTTAAAAAGTTGTATTTGACAACTAATTGTCGTGAACCCATTAAATGTGAGATCAACTATACAGAAAGTCCCCAAATTTCTCAATTTTCATATCTAAATAGCTTTCTATATAAAATTTTAGATTTAAATAAATATAATTTTTAAAAAAAATTAATATTAATGATTCGAAAAAAATATTTTTTGGATCTAGATTCTAGATTTTCAGATATAAATCGTACTCAAATAAAAAATTTGGAGATGCTGATTGCAATGGTGGCGATAACTGTGGGGGGCAAGGGCTTAAATTTGGATTTTAACTAAAATAGGGTAATTTTTTGTATCAAAGATTTGATTAAAATAGGTAACTATCATTAAGAAGAAAATTGGGGTAATATTTCAATTTTGTAAACAAAAGTAGGTTTTTTTTTGTATAATTTCCACTTTTTACTACTGGTGCACATTCATATAGTCCATGTTGGGATTAATCTAAAGAAAAGTGCCCTGTTTGGTGTAGCTAAAATTTAAATTTTTAGTACTTTGATAAAAATTGATGAAATATATAGTTAAAAAATTGATAAAAGTTGTGAATCTTATTAAATATATGATTAAAATTAATTGTTGACTTTGATTTAATTTTTTTTTTCAAAATTTTAAATAACAACAAACAGATATCAATTAATTATGTCAATGGTCCCTAAGTTTTTAGTATTTACGTCTTAGTTACTTAAATTATTATTTTTATAATAATAGTCAATCAAGTTTCTAACTATTATAATAAAGGTCACTCGATTAAAAACATTAACGTTAAATCCTACGTGATGTCATAATGTGCCAACATGTCAACAAATGATGTTAAGTTAGCAAATTAGGAGTCAAGAATTAGGGGTTTGATATATTGAGATGATAAAATGTAGAGTAATGTTATTTATCATCATCATAATTGAATATGATAATCAATTATCCCTCACATTTCTATCTCTCTCCCCCTCTTTCTCATAAAATTTGAACTGCACAATTCCATTATTTCAACTGCCACATCACCGATATTCCAACATTATAATGATAAATTATGTTATTCTAAAATGTAACATTGCTTTAGTTTTGGTTAGATTTTTGGGCAATTAAACCTATGGTAATTCTACATTGTTTTAACAACAATTTTTGCTAACCTGACTTAATAATGTTATTTTGTGACATGTTTACACTTAATGACACCACGTAGAATTTAATATTAATGTTTTTGATTGAGTGTCTATTAATGTAAACGCTAGAAATTTGAGTGACTAATATCATATGAAAAAAACTTTAGTGATCATTGGCATAATTACTCAAAACATTGGTAAATAGTATTTTGTATCGGAGAAAGTTTATTTTGACATTAAAGTAGGATTGGTTTCAAATTAAATAATTTTTCAAATATGTAGACATGTTGAATCCCCAGCTCAGCCAAACATGTTCACTCCTGAATTCTTCAATTAAATTTACAACTTGAAAAATGGCAAAACAACAACTTTGATAAAAACAATTTAAAACTAGTAAAGAAGTTCAATAGGGAATGATGATACATGAGCTTAAGCCTATTGTAGACATGAGGCTTAAATATGGATTTAATTCTGTAGGTTGAGGAACTTATGTATATATACTGACCAAAACTTGAATTTATGTACATTGCTCAAAACTATGGCTTTTCTAAAACTTGTAGAAGACTCAAAATTAGAGCTAAAAATTATATAGCTACTGATAAAGCCAGCCCACCATTTGAACAGCCCATGGATTAGGCTGCAAGACTTCTTCATCCTTCAGTTCTTGTGGGTTTTGTGTCTTCAAATCCCGTGCAAAAATTTCAGCAAACTCAGCGTAATTTGAGCCATCACAGTCCATGTTTTGCAGCGAGTATTCACCAGTACTTGTCTGCTGGAATTTCGGCAGTTCTTGTTGTGAAATCTGAGCCGGTAATCCAAGTACAACTTCTACTTGTTGATCAGTAAATGCACGCGCCAAGATTGAGACCGATGAATCTGATCCTCCAGCACGAGGCGGCCTGGAGAAAGTGTGCTTCTGGATATCTCGAATTTCTCCATTCAAGTCCTCTAGATTGCGATTTTTCCCATGTTTCTGATATTTTTGCTCGATTCGGCAGAGGACGTTGTCCTTGAACTGCACTCAGTAAACAAGAGAGATTGGTTAGTACGATTGTCAAGATAGGCTGGTACTAAACAAGAAAATCCCTCTACTTCGTCCAGTTTCTTGAATTCATATTCGATCAAACAAGCAAAATTAAATCTCGAATTTTCCAACCCTTTTATTATCTTCTCTCATCGACTTACCTAGGGCCTGTCTGTTTGTGCTGAAAATTGAAATTCTATCCGTTAATTTCAAAAAGGAGCCGCACATTTTGACTCATTCACTCACAACTGGGCCCCAAAAGTTGAAAACAACGGTAAAAAAATTGATTTTTTTCCTAAAACAATCCCCACCAGACACAGCCTTAATTGTGCCTTCAAAAGAATCTTGATCATCAGATTACCGAACAAGAAACATCATCAATGTCCAGTTCTTTTTGCAGCAAAACAAAAGTTGATTTATCTTAAAATCTCAGCAATACAAACCAAGCCTCAACAACGCAAGCAACATTAACGTGGGCTTATTACAATCATTCTCACGTAATTACTCAGTCCTATTGGATTCAATTCAGATTAGATATAATCATTAATCCCTTCAAGTTACAGGATTATCAACCAAGAAATCTTCAAACTAACAGAAAATTAAATTAGAAAACTCATGAAAATAAAAAACAAATATTATAAAATTAATCCAACTTACTTTTGCATGAAGTAAAGAGGAGGAATCCAAGCTGTACTCATCCATATTGTATCCAATTTTACCATTTTCCACCGTCTCATAAACATAACTTTTCTTGTATCCTCTGCACTTTCCATTAACACTATAAACTTCTGTTTTAGTTACACCTTTCCATATACCCTTCCCTGCATGACCCTTATTCTTCTTCTTTTTCTCCAACTTGGTGAAGAAATACAGGACATTATTGTCTGTTTCTCGGAATAATCCCACGGGTTCAACACCGCTGTAAAGATCACGTTCCCTAACAAGATCAACGGCCGGAAACGGCTTTCCATGTGCTTTGCATAGCAGACACTGTAGTAGTTCCGAGTCTGTGGGTTGATATCTGGAATCAACACGAGGTACTTCTGCCATGTTCTTGATTGAAGAAATTTAGGGTTCTTTGTACTAGGAGTTCGATTAGGTGGTCAAATATTAATCGAGAAGTTTCCTTATGAAAGAGCCAAATTAGAAAAGGAAAAGATGTCAAATATTTTTAATATCGAACACACAATTTGGTAAGTATTCAATCAAAATCTATTGAAAAGCTTAATTATGGAAATATTTTTGAGGGAGTTGATTGGGTGATTTTTGTGTCGAAGATTCAGCACGCGATGCATATTCACATATAGAATAAATCTGCAGGTACAGAAAAATTTCACAGGTTTTTGCAAAGGAAGACACTGTTATGTAGATTTATTCTATGAAAGATGCTATAAGTACAGGAAAAATTCACAGATTTGGCTGCAAAAACACGTGAATTTTTCCTGTATTTATAGCATCTCTTTTACATATATTAATATGGAAAAAGATGAGGTCAAAAGTCCTTGGTCTACAAAACGCCATTAAAAATATTTAAATCTAAAAAAGTATTTTTTATTTATTTATTTTGAGGTGAATAATTTGTTCTTAGCTTGTTTTCAACTTTTTTCTTTTCTTGATTTGTTAATATCAATAGTTTTTCAATTCTGTAATTGAGTCCTCTTAGGTTTGTCATTTCAATTACTTTGAAAAAATATGGACCCCAGGGGCGGAGCCAACCCATCAAAGTAGGGGGGTCCGAGAGTTGAAGGGGTGGGGGCTCACGGGGGTTCGGGGGCAGCGCTCCCAAATTTTTTTTTTTTTGAAACATTATCTATTAAAATGAGGGAAGTTAGTACTTTGTGATGGAGAAAGGAAACCAAAGAATATAAATTAATGTACATTATTAACAAAAAAATCAAGAAACATATAAATTATCAGAAGTTACATACTCGAATTTGAGCTCAAACTTACGTAGATCGGATCTTTCTCAGTAGCCTTGAACTCATCAAGCTTGCACTCAAACAATAAGACGACATATAAACTCAATAAAACCCCAAATTAAAACATGTAGAAGACCCAATTTAATTTTCATGGTCAAAATTCTACATTAATGGTACTTGTATACTACGATACAAATTATTATCATGGACGAATACAGGAAGATTAGTGCAAGAACGTAAATACTGCAATTAAAATATGAAACATTTTCAAGTGAAGCAATCATATTACTCAACTTCATACAACATAATGTATAATAACTAATGGAGTACAAAAAGTTATTGAAACAATTTTAGACTAAACTAAAATATGCCTTATCAAATAAAATATATCATTGTTTTAATTAAACTATTTATACAAAAAAAAAAATTAAAAAAAAAAATTTGTCAAAAATTGAGGGGGGTCCAGGACCCCCCCACCTCCGCCCCTGAAGGACACGATTTGAGATTTAGATGAAGGAAGGATTTGGGATTCTCCTCCAACAATTAGGTGAGCGAAACATTGATATTCTCGTGCAAATCGACCAAGCGAGCTAACTTGCGGGCTTTCCATCTCGGCTTGTAAGAAGAGGTTATTGACTCGCCTAGCCCTGCACGAATGCAGCAGTGCTACATTTTGTAGCAATTGTCATTTCAACGGCTACCTGAAATTTCAAATTTGAATTTTAGATTTTTTTTCCAAGATTTTTCGCATGATTATTTTTTCTATGAGAAGGTAGTACGAATTCTCTAAAAATTTTCACATAACTTCTATTATTTGTTATTATTTAGTTAATTTTTTTACGGATATTGATTCCGACTGACTACATATTTATATAGGAGACGAGTTTTTGCAACCTCATAATTCTTTTAAGCTCACCATTTCTTTACATCTCGTATTGTAAAATTATAACAAATTTTTAATTAATACTTATTACACTTCGCGTTCAGGGGATAAAAATGCATTTTTTAGTTTAAAAATTTAAAAATAAAAAAGTGGCAAGTTGCGAGATGGCTCGGCTTGTCCCACCTAAGGACGAGTTGGTGGAGCGAGCCGAGCGAGATTCTGGAAATGAGCCAACTAGTGTTCTGCTCACCCCCATTTGCGAGCACGAGCTAGCTCGCCAGATGGTCAATGCTTGCGTGAGAGCCGAATTCCACCTACTTAACAACGATCCCTTGAATTTTACGCTATTTTTTTATGAAGTGACTATTTGGGAAACTGTTAACAATTTTAGTCTTCAGTGGCTAATAGGATTATTTTAACGATAAATTTAATTTCTTTTACAAACCTCAGTGACATTTGGTGAAATTCATAGTAATTCTTTACTTATCGTAAAAAAGTATTTTTACTTCTTGAAACTTAGCCCAACAAGATACAAGAATTATGATTCTTATGTTTATTTATATTTTCTCTATATCAGAACGATAATGTTTAATGTTTTGTTTTTTGTCTGTCTTTATATACTAAATCCCTTTGTTTTTCCTAGTTATTTGATTTGAGAGTTTGATTGATATAGTACCTCTCTCTTTCACACAGAGGCATTGGTTTTGTAGTATTGTTTTATGTAAGATTTTGGTACCTTAAGAGGAAATTGAGAAATTGTACTCTATTTTCTTGATTAGGAAAAATTAGGCCACGTGGTTTTCAATTATCTGTTAAAATGAAGGTGATTGTACTCTGTTCATTACATGTTACTACCTGCCTGTAGAATAACCTCCACTTTGTTCGGCGTTACTCGTTTATTGAGGGTGGTGGAACAAGGCAGTAGCGTGTACGTTTGCTAGTGGACTCGTTTGTTTATGAGGAAAAATATGTTCTTTTGTTTAGGCAATAGAAATATTGGGCTGAAATACGAAATAAAGGCATGAAAGAAAAACGAGTCCGTTGGGATGAAAGTCATATTGTAGGAGAGACTATATATATATATATATATATATATTTTAGGTACATTTTTCCTTTCTCGAGGATGATTTTTCCATTTGTAATGTGATTTTTCAAATGCAGAAATCTCTCATTTAAAGATGTTGCAAACGGTGAGAATAATTATAGGTACTCGAAGTGGATGATAGAGTACTAAAAATCTTGTTCGTTGCTAAGTCTCTTAAATCCCCACCCGGGGGTTCATGAAAGTGCATGAAAGTGTGACAGAATGCACTTACCATAACTGCTTTTAACTAAAGCAAATTTAAGTAAATTTATATTTTGATTGAGAAGTTCCTTTTATGTAAATAAAAATTGGAAATAATTAGGTCCACAATTGTTGTCCCATCACAAAATANGAAACATTTTTCCTTTTTCTATTTCAAACTATTGTACCTCCACCGCAAGTATGTATGGAGACAGTCAAGGGTTGAGTCTTAGGTGTGTTTGATTGATATTATTGAGAAAATAATGTATTTTAAACAGTAATATGATAAGAAATATGTGGTTAAAAAGTAAAGAAAAGTTATTTATGTGATGAAAAATATTATTTTATTGAAAAATGTGTGGTTGAAAATGAGTTTTGAAAGAATATGTGTCAAACAAGGGCTCATTTGAAAAATCAGGTTCCTTCTTCACTGCTTGGCGATAATGGCGAACTTTTTGTCCCTAATTTTTGGATAGATTCAAATTTCATATTAAAATAATCAGCAATTGCAGTAGTCATCTTACGCGCCAACTTGTTATTTGAGACAATTGGATTACAGAAAACTAATGTCTCAAATAACATGTTGTCAAATAAAATGACCAATGTAATTGTAGACTATAAATAGCATTAACGAGTTTCTCCCATTAACTCAAATTCTTGGGTTTTTGTTGAAGAATCCTAATTGATTTTGTTGAATAAAGATAATCCTGCAAAAGCTTATAAACCCGTGTTTGGTAGAGATTAAAATCGATTTTTTTAGTAAATTTTGATAAAAGTTGATGAGATATATAATTGAAAAGTTGTGAATTTCATAAAAAATGTAGTTAAAATTAATTATAGACTTTGGCTTAAAATTTTAAGGGAAAATTACATAGATCAGGTGTTTAAACTTCAAAGTGCAAGAATCAGGTGTGAAGTATTTTTAATCAAAATTCAGGTGACAACTTAATATTTTAATATTAATTATATTACAAATTCAACACCCACCAAAACACTCACTCCACCTACTTTCAAAACCTAAATTATTTTAATCAATTCTCCATTTCTTTCTCTCAACGCCGGAATCTCTTCTCTTGCTCTCCATGCTAGAACCTCTTCTCTCGCTCCCCTCAACGAGGTCCGTCATTAAGGTTGAAAATATGTGATTTTGGGGACAGCGATGACATGGATGTAGTATTTCTTCCCTCCGATATGTCTAGGATGACTCTGTGTTGCTTTGAGAGCTATAGTTGTTGCAGCAGCGGCGGTGACGTGGTGTTTCTTCCTTTCAATCTGTTGTGGGTTGTTTTAGGTGTTGGTGGTAAGGTGGTGGTGGTGTGCTGGTGGTGGTGAAAATCTAGAGTTTTTTAGGGTAAATTGGTAGTGGTTTGCAAGTTGTGGCGGTGGTTGTAGTTGGGTGGTGGTGGTTGTGATGTTAGCTGCGGTGTTGAGGTGGTGGTGATATTAGCAGTGCTGGTCGACAACAGCAACGACGGTGTTGGTGGTTGACGGTGATGTGATGGTGGTTGACAATGATGGCATTGTGTTGATGGTGGTAGTGGTTGTGGTGGTGACAGCAACAGTGGCGACGACGATGGTGGTCGTATGTGACCTTTGCCTGTGACCAGCTGTCTAACTGTGACCTTAATATTCAATAATCTGTGATCGACAAATCTGAAAATATGTGACAGATTGATAAATTGTGATCTATAATTTTTTATCCGTGACCTTAAAATTCGATAATTTGTGATCAACAAATTTGAAAATATGTGACTGGTTGATAAATTGTGACCTATAATTTTTTTTATTTGTGACCAATAAAATAAAATGTGGCCTATAAAATTTTTGATTTGTGATCTCGAATTAATCTGTGACAAATTAATTATTTAATACACGATCAATAAATAAGTTGTGACCTATGATTATGTACATGTGACCATTAATTATATAATTGTGATTTTATTATATTCAATTAATAAATATATTTAATTAATAAATAAATACTTGATTTTTCCATTAATTAAATTTAAAACCCAAATTTTGAATTGTGTATAGTTAATGCCTTAATTGTGAATTTTTCCCAAATTTTAATCCAAACCAAATGGGAGCTAAATGTAAAAAAAGCCCTTTAAATATTTTCCTTATTTCGGTTGGGTTTGGTTCAAATTGATTGGGCTTGTAGACAACAACTTGATCAGGAAGCCCAGTATCTATTAAGAAACAGACGGGCTTATTTCAAAATAAGAAGTGGAAATTACACTACACCCTACTTTTCAAAATCAATATTCTAAAATTAGGTTGAATGTTTCATTTTACAAAAATCAGATAATTTAATTAATATAAACGAATGATTTAATATTAATAATTATTATAAATTAATTTATGTACACGCTCTCTACACTATCTACCCCATCCAAACCCTAACCCTAAAATCATCTCCCCTCCATTCTCTCATCTCCTCTCCTCTCCATTCTCTCATCTCAAACCACGGCTGTCGCCGCCGTCGCCCATCTCCTCTCCTGTCGATCTACTCAAACCACCGTCGCCTTCCAGTTGCAGATATATTTTTCAATATGAAATCAGATCTGGAAAAATGTCAGTGTTGGAGAGGCAGCATGAGGGATTAATGAAAATCTATTGACTCTGAATTCTGCTGAGTCGTCGTTATCTTCTGCAGTCGGAGGTGAGGAGGAATCCTGCAAAAGCAAGGAAGATTTTTAGAAAAAAGTGTGTGAAGATGGAGATGAAAAATCTAAAAAAGTGTAGGTTTTTGACGTTTTCTTCTTGAATTTTTTGACATTTAGGACAAATAATTACTATCAAGGTGGACTTATAAAATTTTCTATTTGTGACCGAAAAATGCCGATAAAATTCTTGACTTGTGACCATAAAATAAGTTGTGACCAATAATTTGATAAACTGTGATCGATTTGCAATGAATAAATGAGTTACTAAAGTCACACTTTACTGGTCACAGATTTGAGTTCACAAGTCACGGTCATTTTGTATAGGTTACAAATGAATATAGACGGGTTACGGATTAGTATGATCAATTAATTTGATAGTTAACCGTGGCTAAATAATTCGTCGTTAAGGTCACAGATCATTGTCATAGGTTTGAGTTCACAAGTTACAGTCATTTTTTATAGGTCACAAATCAATATTAACAGGTAACATGTGTTTGTAGNTTTTTTATAGGTCACAAATCAATATAAACAGGTCGCATGTCTTTGTAGAGTTACGGTTAAAAAATATAGGTCACATTTACTGGAATAGTCGTCGGAATGATAATCAACACAGTCATTAGAAACAGAGCAGTCGCCGGAACAGTCATCGGAATCGGAGCAGTCGCTGGAACGATCACCGGAATAGTTGCCCTAATTGAAATAGTCGTCAGAACGATCGCCGAAGCGGTAGTGGTGGTGGAAATGGGGTGGGTTAACTATATCTTTATATATATATAAGAAAAATTCATTTCTCCTATTTTCACTATATACTATTTCAAAAATAAGAAAATAACTTTCAAATTTATAAAATCAGATATACCGGGAAAGTCAAGTGTGTTAATTACGTGGCATGCTTATGGCCGATTCTTATATGGGTAAAATTCATTTATCCTATTTTTACTATATACTATTTCAAAAATAAGAAAACAACTTTCAAATTTCTAAAAGGGTAATTAGCGCAAAACGTCCCTACCTATGACATGTTTTGTGGAAAACGTCTCTACGTTTGATTTTTTGGTGATGGACGTCCCTACCTTTTCATTTTCTTGTGAAAAACGTCATTCCGTCCAATTCCTGTTAGAATGCACCGTTAAATCCATTAAAAAATGATTTTTATTTTCCAAACAAAAGGGTAAAACCATCAGAACACCCCCTAACTTCCATCCCTTCACTCCCATTTCGAAAAAAACAGAGGCCTTGGAAGGGAGACGGACGTGCGTGTCTCCATATCACGCCTTACCATCCTCTTCCGTTCATCGCCTCGTCCTCTCTGTTCATCGCCTCGTCATTCACGACCCAAGATTTGTTGAACCCCCAGTGAGAAGCGAGCGACTGTAAGAAATGGGTTTCCAAATTTTTGACAGTTCTTTCGATTTTTGGCTTGATCGAACGTTTTCATTTAGTTTTCTAGTGTTTTATCACCGTTTTGCAGGTATATACTTGAAGCACTTATACTTGCACTCAACATGCGTCCGCCGATTTTTAGGGACCCTGGAGATGATCCACCAGTGTACGGTATGTTCTTCAATCCACCAATCCTCTACGTGCATTTAACCTCAAAAAATGGGCTACATTCACCCAATTTTAGTTTGGGCTACCTTAATCGTGATGTGCAGTAACCACATTTTTGGAACTTTTATTTCTGTGAGTGTTGTGGAATCGTGTGAGAGTTGTCAGTTTCCAAAGTGAACATTTTTTTATGATGATTCGGTTTCTGATTTATGTGTGAAATTGGGGGGTTTCTGTTGTTTCTGCAAAATGTTCATGAGTTATATGTATCTGTTTCAAATTCATGCTGGATATTTGTTTTTGAATTTCCTACCGTTTGCATGTAGGTGGTAATTCTCCATATTTCACCGTTGAAGTTCATCACGACGGCAATTTTTTTTGCAAAGCCAAACAATTTGGT